GTTCTAATTGTTGGCAGGCTGCATTCTAAGAAGTGTTTTGTGGACTTGGGCTCGCCACAGCTACAGTCCATATTTGCATTGGTATGAGAAAGCCGTAAATGGTAAGAGGCAAAGTCTCCATGCCATGATTGTGCGGCGTATATATGAGCAACGAGATGCCTTGGGAGTGATAGCTCTCCAGGACAGCGATCGGAAACGCCGATATTCAAGTCTATGTAGGAACGCGGGGCAGAGATTTCTCAATATTTTTTGTAGGCTTCCATTTTTGAATAATTAACCCATTTTTTTGCAGCTGAAAAAGTGAGATGAGAGGGCAAATAAGGAGGGAGTATTGTCATGGCTTCTTTCGCCGCTTCATCTGCATGGCTATTTCCTGTAATATTCCTATGACCAGGAATCCAGTGAACTTGAACCTTACCAGGAGTGGTATGGGGGTGGCGAGGACGACGCAGCCATTCAGATGCGGAATTAGCAAATTTGATGAACACTTCTTGAGAAGAGCAAACTGGTACCGTTCCGAGTTGTCGAGCAGCGTCGAGATTATCGAGAAGAGCCCAGAGATTGTTGGCAAAACGGGCAGACGAAAGTTGAAGTGCCATTGTAACAGCTTGCAAGGCTGCGTTGACTTCCGCGTCAAATACAGTGAGAGATGAGCTGAGAGGTATACACTTACGAGATACAATACGACCTGCTTGATAGATGACCACGCCACCGCCAACTCGAGGGCCAGAATCGGTCTCACGAAGCCCTCCGTCCGAATATGCTACTAGATCTTGGAAGGGGATACCAGCAGGAAGTCGATGTGAGAAGTTAGTTACTCTTCTCATACTTGCATGCCAGTTTTCTTTTGCTGACCAGTGAGTTTGGACAAGAGGATCTATATTCTCTGTCTTTGAGAAATTAAGCACCCAGCCTGAGAAGCGGGAGACCCGGATTTCCCGCGTTTGTATCCAAGATACGCGACGGTTAAGAGGATGCCTTGTGTCCAAGCAGTGAGTGCGCGAGGCAGCCATTCGTGATCTTGAGTCTAACTCGACCTCTGGAGGGAGCAGCCCTGCCTCGCGATAGAGGGCTGAGATCGGGGTGGTACAATATACAGGCAGATTTGCTCGGGCGCTAGTTGAAATGACTTTCTAGAGAAGAGAGAGTTGCCCTTTGATACAATTCGAAATGGTCCGAGTTGAAGCCAATGTCCTGGCGCGCCTAGGCCCCCACGTTTCAGCTGCATAGTATGCAATTGGCAGTACGCATGATATTACAGCTCGCCGGAGGAGACTAGGGGTGACGCCTCGGGTAGTGTTCCCTAGATTTCGTAATGAATTGGCAACTTTCAAAGCTTTACCAGCTAGAGTACGTACATACCATTTAAAAGTGAGATTTTTATCAAAGTACACTCCGAGCCACCTTGTATAGGGACGAGATGCATTTTCGGAGATGGAAAATCCCTCACAATTTACAGACAGTGTGGAGTTTGGATCCTTGTCTGCACGTCTCCGGGAGAAATGTTGAAGTTCTGTCTTTCCTGGATCAAAGGTTATGCCTTCTCCTCGGCCCCAGGCCAATGCCTCTTGCAGCGAGGCTGTCAAACGGCCGCAATTTTCTTGGAGTGAGTCACGCGTCTCGATTAATGCAATGTCATCTGCATAGCCAAACCTCTGAGATATTTTCCCCATTTTAAATATAGGTGAGATGTAAAGCATGAAAAGGATTGGGGAGGCGGGCGACCCTTGGGGAAGTCCGCAGTTGACCTGCTGGAGTGGGCCAGTTTCCCCATCTAGACGAATTTGAACCGAGCGACCAGTGGCAAACGAGCTTACCCACTTAACAAGAGACTCAGGTCAACCTTGCTCGCGCAAACGTCGCGCTAGCCTACCCGGCAGAACAGCGTCGAATGCGCCCTTAACGTCAAGTGTATGCAAAGTAGCTGTGCGCCCTTCGTTTAGGGCTCTTTCAACATTGTGTGTAAGGCAAGTGGTGAGATCTACTGCGGATCTTCCTGGGAGAGCTCCAACTTGCTGACTGGCTAATACCTTTTTCCAAACAGAAATCCAGGCAATACGTTTGGCCAGGAGCCGTTCTAGTCCTTTCCCTAGTACTGATATAAGCGCGATTGGGTGGTATGATCGCGGGGAAGAGAAGTCCGACTTGTTAGGTTTCGGTATCATGACCAGTATGGCTTGGCGAAAGCAACGAGGGTGGTATCCTAATGAAAGACAGCTGTTGAATAGAGTGTGGACGTGGTCTGCAATAAGGGGCCATGCGTGTCAGAGGACTTCAGAAGTTATCTCATTGCTGCCAGGGGCTGTGTCAGACCAGTATCAGAACTCGGTGGAATTAGTATTCCTGAATTAATGTTTCGTGATTCATGTAAATTCCATTCTTCTAACATGATTGTAACATTATTGTCAGAATAATATGCCAAGCTGGTACCTGACATAATTTGTGATTTCCTCAGGAAAACTTGGCGTTTTGGGTAATTTTCAGCTAGAAAATGCTTGGCGTCCGTGTAACAGACGTGGTGGACTGGTATTGAGTCGGTTTAGGATTACATCTTGGCTACAGCATGTTTGGATTGTATCCTGTGATGTAAGTAAGCTTTTTCTAGATATTATCATCTTACGTCAGGTAGTAGATATGTGTAGATATATAAGCTGAGAGAAAGAGGAAGGAAGACAGATAGACAGACAATAACATCTTTTTATTTCACTTCAATTAAAAGCTCCTGTGCGAGCTATTCTTCCAGATACCTCTAGTCTCAATCATTACAGCTTCCGAACCAGCTCAAAAGGTTCAACAGGCTGTATTGCTACACCTATGTATTGAAGCTTGAATTTCTTCCATTGATAATGAGGGGAACTCAATTGCGCGTGTCGGGACCACTGGAGTGTCCATAGGAATATCCCCTGCCTCAGCAAGGTTGACAAGAAGGTTTTCGATGAGGACCTCTCTTTTCTCCGCTAGTGTTGTCACTGGAGGATTTTGAGGAAACCTAGGGTCTTTAAGAGGAGTTGAGCGATATCTAACTGTGGACTTGTGCCATTGAGATATGGCAAAGATGTCCTTGCCTGTACATGCTTTTTCGATCTTTCCTATGTAGAATATGTTTTTTGCCACCTTAACAGTTTTACGATGAGTTTTCCTCGCTTCTTTGAGCTCTTCAACGGTTAGAGGGGTCTTAATTGCTGATTTGAAGATCTGGCGGGCGCGTTTGCAAGATTTGTTCCACCAGGGGTTACCTTTACCGTGCCATAAAGAGCGACAAGCCGCTGAAGCATATGCCATCCAGATGGCCTCTACTAAGTCCTTAGCAAAACTATCCAAGGAATTTTCGGTAATAGGAGACGGAAGAGTGCAGAGTCTATTGTATCGACTCTAAGTCTCTCCAGTGGTTCCACATATCCCACCCAATCGATCTCAGTGAGGAACGGTGCGTGGTCTGACGTTGTGTCTAGATGCGTGCCAACAGTGCTTTTTGCGCTTTGAGCTAAAGGGCCGGACCCGAAGGCTAGGTCAAGTACATTTCCACGGTTATGCGTTGCCACATCTAATGGAGAGGGTAGAACAAAGTTGTTTTTATCTGCCCATTCCAAGAAGATTTCAGCACCCGCTGAGGGACTGCTTGGCCAGGAAGGCTGCAACCTTATGTGATGAAGGTTAAGGTCCCCTATCACAATGGAGCTGCAATTGTTTGGAATGGATAGTGTGAGAAGAGGGTGTAAAGCGCTTCCACTGGTAGAGCCTGGAGGTGCGTTATAAATGTTGATGATCTGCAAGGCTTTCCCTGAGGGTGATTTCAGACAGAGAGTGAGTATGTTGCCAGAGATTATTATATATTTGGTCTGCACGTAGTCCAACCCCTTTGCGCTTGTATGAGATCACTCTAGGCCTAGTGGTTGACCAATCATCAATTGGAGAGAAAGTCTCATATGATGGATGGTACTTTGTCATTTGTTGGGCGCAATCACGAAAAATGTAAGGTTCTTGAATCAAGATAATATCTGCTAATATAGTAAAAGCTTCGTTGAGGGCGATCTCATGCGAAAGAGCACCTCTGCCAAAGTTCAAGGAAAAGACCGTTAATGGCTTGGACGAAGCCTTGTGAGACTTATAGCCGTCCATTATGCTTCCATTTTATCATTGCTCTGATCCTCTTCGACATAAAGGGCATCGAAGGGGTTCTTGGTAACAATTTCTTGTGTATCCTGTGCTGTCCTTGGCCCGGCAGGGCTGAGGTGTTGAGATGATGACAGCTTGTCGCTACGCGCTGCTGAGTTGGCTTGGGGAAGGCGCTTCGCACAGCCCGCTTCTGCTTGTCTGCGCATACAGGCATCTGCATTGACTTTTCGGACCGCACTCACCTGAGCTTTGGTCAAAGGTGGTCCTGTAGCTTTAGGCTTGAGCTCGCACTTTGCATTGTCAGCGGCATGAGGGCCGTGGCAGTGAACGCATCTAGGTGGACAGGTGTGCTCACCTGTGGCTGCGTAGTGGTTACCATGCTCGTTTTCAGTATGGGTTCCCGAGCCACATAGGCGGCACCGGAGGGAGGACGCACAAGTTCGGGTATTATGCCATAGCCAGCATCTATTGCACTGAGCAGCTGTGTAGCGCCGAGGTAGAGTTTTTGTGATTGTACGGCAACCAAACAGGAAGATAACGCGAGGAAGGCGTTGGTGATTTTCTGGAAAGCGAACAATCCATATTGTTGTGGAGGAGTCTGGGTTCTCCTCATTATTGCGCGACGCAAGGATGGCAACTGGAGCTGTTCCTGCGGCAGCTGAGAGTGCTTCGTGCATAGCAGCGGCAGTGACTGGTTGAAGGCAGTATCTGAGTTTGTTGTTGATGGTTCCGAACTTTCGTGGGACATTATTAATCCTATATGAAGTCCACGGTGAAGCACTTTCGACTGCAATATTATCAAAAATACTCACCTTCGAGATTTCTTCCTTAAGTTTAGAGGTTTCTCCATCTTTAGGGCAAAGAGTGAAGCCGGTCTTTGTGGACTACACGTTAACTAGAACTCGCCCTTCGTTTCCTAGCTTAGCTTTCAGGTGAGACTGGAAAGCGTATGCTGAGAGACCCCTGAGCCTATCATCATCAGGTATGCAGACAAACAGACAATCGTCAGTGCGATGTTGTTGCGGTTGTGTTTTTGGGCTAGGACGTGCTGGCTCTTTACTGCTATGCATACTCTCGGTGTGGATGCCCTGGGGTCGGCGAGCCACCTTGGCGTATGTTAAAGACTCCGGCGCTTGCGGAGTTCGGCAAGGATCAGGAGTTGGTTCAATTTTTGATACCTGTTTTCCGCTTATGTAGGCGTCAAAGTGACGGGTAGCAACCTCAGCTAGATCTTTGCAGAAGTTTTTGAGGGCCAAACGTTGATTAGCAGGGAGTGAGTCGTGACTTAGTACGGCCCAATGATTGTCCAAATGCGAGGCAATACTGCCAAATAATGATTCAGCTTCCTTCGCTCGGCTTTCTGCAGCAGCAACACTTCTTCCCAGTGCCTCTCTAAAGGAGCTAGATGGGTTGGGCGCGTCAAACGGGTCATCTATGGGTTCGTCTGGGAGCTCGTCATATTCTAGAGTGATGCCATGCTCGTAAGGAGTTTTTCTGGGACTAGGATTGTCGAGGCCTTGATTGGGATGATTGAAGGGGTGCGTTGTAGGGCGTTGAGCCTGTAGCTCCAACATTGGCAGAAGCGCCAATTGTATGGCGCGGTTTTCTTTTATGCGCGGTTTAGCAATGCTTGATGTATTCTGCTTAGGCTTTAGAATAGTGTGTGTAGAAGGAGAAATGTTTGTGAGAGGGGGGATTTTAATTGGAGCCAGGGTTAGTTTAACAATAGAGGTATATAACTAGAATCAAAGTTGTTGTTTTGTCAGGGTATGAGTGTGAGTCTGATTGTGTCAAGGGGAACTAATTCACCTACTCATGTAAACTAAGCTAGTTAGGTCACATGACCTGACTATCAATACATAGACTTCATCTGTAGCAGTAGAGTTCACCAGTCAACATTTACAACATAATACTGTGTCCCACGTATCTTTCCTAAGAGATTGACAAGCTGCACTACCCGCCATTGGAGTTTGACGTATCTAATCGTAGGGATCATTCTAGCGGCCGTTCGATCCATGTAGCGCATCATATACGGATCCAGAATAGTTGTTATCATGATCTGCATTATCAATTTCAGGTTGGGGTTATTTTGAGAATCCAGCAATAGATTTCCCTGTATTGCTATGTGTCAAGCAAACTCCTGGAGCTAGGTAAGATGATTCTATATAAATCTACCCAACAACCATTCCCCTATACGAACCATGTTTGTAAGGATTCTTGAGAAATCCCTCAGGCAGGATTTATGGGTTCCTTATTTAATTCCACTAGTCTTTATTGCTTAGCGAGGGCACCTATGTAGTTTCCATTTCCGAGACTGATATCTTCACGCTTTGTTTTCTGTCTTTAGGAATAGTTACATTATTCTAATCACATCTCGCTCTCGTCCTCTGCCAAACATAGTGATCTACTGTCACCTCCGGCCCCTCTATCTAGAACGACTCCCCGCTTTCCCTTTTACCACTTCTCTAGAAAGCCCTCCGCGTTACCACGAGGCGTCCTTCCTCAGTACATCCTACGCTACGCCCTCTCCTACGCCTCGAGTCCTGCGCCTAGTGAACCTGCGCCTGACAATGTTGTAAATAAGGGAGTAACATGACTGCATTACAATAAACTGTTCACATTAGAATAATGTGCACATGCGCCATGGGATATGATTGACCTAAATCATCACTCATTGGTATGACATAGTATTTCCCAATAGATTCCTAATGGTTTCTATTGGCGCTAGGATCTCTCACATCCTTCCTTTCTCGGTTAGACAAGGACAGATGTTGGAACATCCACTAGTGTGCAGAACCCCCTTATTCATGTATATAGAAGAAGGTCCTGTCACGTAGATAACTTAAGCAACTCATACAATAGGAAATTCAAACAATCTCCATATTATTAACACACTTGAGAATACTAGGGAATATCCTCAAGTTCGTCCATTGATCCAAGTCCTAAGAGTATAACTCACGAACTTTACTTCTCTTAAAGCCATAGCTACCTCCTTCCATACCTTCATCCTAACTGTACGTCATTGCAGCTCAGCATAGCCTTTCAATACTTTTCGACCGGGAAGTCGCCCCTCGTGCGGGCTTCCGCATTCTCGACGAGGCTGGTATGGCTACCATTCACAGGCCTCGCCCACAAATTGAACAGTGCAAACGCTGTTTGGGCCTCCACGCTACCCGTGGTTGCTCCCGCGCTCCAGCCTGCTGGAACTACGGATCTAACATGCACTTGGAAGCCGAGTGCAAGGCCCTCATTAAGTGTCGCAACTGTGGGGGACCTCTCCAATCGGATTCTCGGGCCTGTCAGGTCAGACCCAAAAAACCCGGACCGGTGACTAAAGAGCAGCTCGCGTGGATCCGCCACATAGAACAAGGGGAGTTCTCAAAGGTGGCACGAGCACGAGCAGCGGCATAAAAGGCCGAAGAGGCGATCATCGCCGCTGCGAAGGACGTCTCGATGGCCGAGGCTACAGGTTTCGGAGCACTGGAAGCTGAAGAAGAAGTTTGAGGACACAGCAACCTCGACGATGTCCCCTTTTGGGGCATCTACTAACAATTAGCAGGATACCGGCTTGATAAAAGGTACCTGCTAACCCATCTTTTGCTCTCAGTGGAGAATGGGCAAATTTGTCATCTGGGAGGTGTGACGGACGAGGGAATGTGTGAGGAGCGTATTGGCTGGGTCCAATATGGAGGAATCTTCTGGTATACGGTGTTGTTTTGGTATTCTTGATTTTTCGTTTCAGTTTAATCAGCTGCACTTTTGGCAGAGATTCACGAGGTTGGAACGAGTTAGGCTGTAGGAAAAGTTACAGGGAACCCTGCCGGATCCGCCGGTCCTTGACCCAATGTGTAAAAGATAGCGTTAGCTTAGGACCAAAAGTAAAAAAAAAAAAACACAATTGGACTTCTTTTTTATTTTTTTACATCAGATTTTAATTGCGTATGCAGCTATCTAGCTATGACACAATATCGAAGAAAGGTACAGAAAACAATCGAGCTTCAATCGAAATTCATTTCGCGGCGAGAATGCACAAGCTGGCCCATAGACCTTAGTTTCGCCTGTGTTGTCAAATTATTCCATGTCAAGTAAAGCAAGCCAATTGCCATGTATCATGAAGTACTATTGGTGATAAATTTAAGCGATCACGTTTTACACATGTATATTGCTCCAAAAGCCGGGTAGAAATCTGTCAACTGCCAAGGGTTGGCGACCAGTCTCGCTGTTGTCGAGTTTAGGTAAAGGACTTGAGCGTCTAGTTGGTAAGATAATGGAATGGCTGACAATAAGTCACCAAGCTGTTCACCCACAACTATTCGGCTCCGTACCAGGACGATCTGCAGTCGACCTTGCATCCTGTGTAATCCATGATGCTGAGGCGGCCATTAAAAGTGGCAAGTGTGCGACTATGGTCACACTCAACATTCAAGGTGCATTTGATGCAGTCCTTCACAACCGACTGCTCAAACGCCTTCGAGAACAAGGCTGGCCACGATCCCTGTGCCGGTTTATTCAGACATTTCTTTGCCAACAAAAGTTTCAGGTCAAATACCGCGGTGGAATCACAGAAGAGAAGATACTGGAATGTGGAGTACCTCAGGACTCGGCACTATCGCCACTTCTTTTCATGCTCTACATCGCTGTACTTTTTGAGGATCATGGTCTAACGAGCAGGTTTGGTTATGCTGACGATGTAGCTATTCTCAGAATTGGAAATACCGCGGCGGATGCTATCTCCGCTGCTCAAGACGACCTCGACAGCCTTATCCTTCTCGTAAGAGAACACAGGATCGATTTTGACCCAGCAAAGTCAGAACTTCTAGTGACCGGAGGAGGGCCTAGAAAGAAAATCAACGCGGCTGATCTTTCCATCTTGGTGAAAGATCGCCGGGTCGAACCATCACCTCATATCCGGTGGCTAGGAGTCTGGCTTGATACCCAGCTAAACTTCAAGCAGCATGTACAGGAATGGACTGGAAAAGCTAATCGTCTAGTCCATTTCTTACGACATTTAAACGGAGCTCAACGTGGTGCAGCACCCAGACCTTTGATTCGTGCGGTACATGCATGTGTTCTGAGCACAGCTCTATACGGGGCAGAAGCGTGGTGGCCGGGTCTCACTCAAATAACCACACTGCGAGATAAAGAAGTCGGCACTGGAGTAGGCTTGCATGTATCTCTACTGGAAAAAACGATAATTAAAGCTATCAGAGCAGCACTCCCAGCGTGGCGTACTACTCCCAATGGCGCTCTTCATCGTGAAGCGGGAATACCCCCGGCATCGAAAATTCTTCAGCAAAAGATGCTGCGGTCTGCAGCTCATATGCGAAGAATGGATATCTGGCACCCTCTAGCCATTCGGGCGGCAGAGGATCCGAAAGAGACAATAAGACGCTTAGGTCTTAGATCAGGACAAAGAGATCGTTTGTTCAGACAACCAAAACGGTACATGACACGCCTACAAATAAGTGTGTGTCGAGTTCCGACAGCCGAAAGCCCCGGAAAGCTATACTTCCCACGTGGCACTCCAGCATCGATTCCATGTAGTCGAGAAAATGAAGCTAGGTCTGGAAGCATAAAGCGGTGGTTAGCTTCCCGCCCAGCTAACACAGTCTTCGCTTTCTCTGATGGATCATCATCGGGTCCCGGAAAATCATCCTGGGGGTATGTAGTATACCAAGGAGGCAAGCTAGTTGCAAGTGGCTCCGGTCCACTTCCCGGAGCAGAGGTATTCGATGCAGAAGTTGTAGGTGCCATGAAAGCCTTGAAGGCTGCAATAGAGGTAGGAAAAGACTTACTGATCTGCATTCCTCTGGACAACCAAGCGGCCACCCAGGCGCTCGAAAGAGGAAGATCTAACTCCTCGCAGTCGGTGGTGGACAAGTTTTCATCGCTGAGACACAATAAGCGTGTAGAAATACGCTGGATACCCGGACATGTGGGGATTCAAGGCAATGAAGAGGCCGATCAGCTGGCCAAATCAGCCTTGGGAGCTCCCAATAACCGGTCACTAACCTCAGCTGCGCCCATTCTAGAAGATCAAGATCTAACATTTGCGGCATTAGAGAGGTGGGCTAAACAGCGTAGCCAAGAGCTCGTGGAAGAGTGATGGCAGAAGTATCGACCGAAACGATACAAAGATCTGGACCTATTCATGCGTTGCAAAAGACCACCGGAACTAGCTTTACCAAGATGGGCGTACCATCGTCTTATTGCGGCAAGAACAGGCCACGGGGACTACGCCGACTACCATCGACGTTTCAACCCCGAACATGAAGATCTGAAATGCGTTTGCGGCCGAGAGAAAAGGCCCTGGCATTTTTCAGAGTGCCGACCTGCTTTGCTACGTCTGAGAATCTATGAGAAAATGGCCCCACCTGGGGCCAGGGAAATGATAGGGGAGAAGGGATGGCAGAGGTTGATTCAATCCCTAACTACAAGTAGATGTTACAGTCTGCCGAAGAATTAACCGGGTGGAAGGTGGCCACGCTTAGATTGTTTCTGACCCGAGAGGAGATGGGTGTGGAAGATAGGGATGCGGTGCAGGGCACCGTAACTCAGACATATACTGTTGTTG